TTTTTTTTTTTAATTAAATAAAAGGGGCCCCTTTTAAAAAAAAAAAAAAAAAAAAAAAAAAAAAAAAAAAAAAAAAAAAAACTACATTTTGCATGAACAAAACTAGAAAGAGTTTATTAAAACTCTTTTACACAGACACATTTTTTAGAAAAATTTCTGGTTATTTCATCAAACTTGAAAGCAACAGACAACAACAGCTCACCTCATTACACTGAGTGGACAGAGAGCCATCAGGGTCACAGTTGCAGGCCTCACAGCCAGTACCGCTGGCCAGTTTCCAGTGGTTAGGAGCACACCGGTCACAAGCTCGTCCAATCACATTGGGCAAGCATGGACACTGTCCAGTGACAATGTCACAAGCTCCCATGGAGCGGTTTGTGCCGAGAATGTTACACACACATGCTGTAATATTCAAAGATTACACCTAATTACAACAAAACTTTAATACAGAATAGCTTTTCCGAATGTTATGTACAACAAAAATCTGAAAGTCTTCAGCAACTTTAAACAATCCAGAAGTTTCAAATTTAAACTTTCTTCTTCATTTGCAAATCTTTTTTAACTGAAGATCAACCTACCCTGACATGTCTGCCTTGTTGCATCTCCATAGTAACCCTCCTTACACCTCTCACAGCTGTAGCCCTCAGTCTGGTACAGACACTTCAAACATTCCCCAGTGACAGGGTCACAGCTACCAGGTACGTCAGGATCAATATTATTATTACAGAAACATGCCCTGCATTCCCCGCCAGGTACAACTGGGTTGCCATAGAAGTTATCAGCACAGCGATCACAACGATCACCCGTGTATCCAGGGCGACAGTCACAGCGGACGTTTTGTTCTCTGGTCAAGCTGCACGTGTCTGCATGTTGGAATCCACTGCCTTGGCCGCCAGGACATGGGCAGGCACGACATGGAATGTTGGCGCCAAGTCTGGGATCTCCATAGTAACCACGGACACATCTGAAAATCATTGGTGAGAGATTTGAGAAAATGGAACACATGGGAGACCAGACTGTGTACACCACAGTTCTCAACAATTTTTGGTGGGTAATTATTAAGGAACTTCAGAATATAGAGTAAAAAGCTGAGTGATAACCACTGATATTCTGACTCAGTATTCATTATTCACTCAATATACAGCTAGGAAAGTGAGAAATATATGGTTATCCATGCTGAGACAGTGAGATACCAAAATGTCTTTGATGAGACAGATAGAACAGACTGTTTTACTAGGGTGTACTTGTAGAAACATTCCACAAACAATACTCACAGTTCACAATTGTCTCCAGCAGTGTAATCTCTACATCCAATACATCGCCCTGTGGTGTCCTCACACGTGTCAGCATGGCCATTACATTGACACAGGCGACAGTTGGGGAAGTTATAATACCCGCGCTGACACTGGTCACACTGGCGACCATAGGCGTTAGGGATACACAGACACTGGCCAGAAGTCACATCACAGAAATTGTCGCGGGAGCCGAGAGCATTACAGTTACAGGCTGAAATTATATATGAAACATTTTAAGTGAAGTTGAAATGACAACGAAAAGCATTACAGGTACAGGTAAAAAAAAATCTACTAGCCCTTCTGGGCACCAGTTTCAAGGAATCAACTGATCCAAAGCAGAAACACTGTCCACTGGCTAAACAAAGTTACATTTCTATTTTTTGGGCGCAGCTTAAAATTTACTGAGATTAGCCTTAACGTTGCAGACTGGGTTTGTCACTAACCTAAGCATCCCTGTGGTCCAAATCCATACGTTCCTGGTGCACACTTATCACAGCGCCTTCCTATGACATTTGGTTTACATTGACACTGACCACCAGAGGGGTCGCACACGGCACTCACGGAGCCTGTGGGGTCACATTCACAGTCTGAAAAGATACCATGCATTTATTTAAATCTATTTATTTATCCATTTATTTGACAATTAACATTTGGTTTTTCATCACATAAATAGTTTTTTTACAACAGAATGAGTGTTGTTTAATCCTGTAAAGGTCATAACTTGAGGGCAAAATACTACCTAATGTTCTCGTCACTAGAAAAAGATTTCTAAGGCATGTTTAGTTGAACACTAATACCCATGCAGTGGATTTTCTACTTCAAGACAAATTTTGACTTTTTCTGAATGCACTTGGTGTAAAAATACAATTCTAATGCCAGTTTCAAACTTTGTCACGAAGTTGCGCAATTTACCCCTTTTTCATAATCCATTGCTGATTAATTATAAACAATGCACCCTTGCAAAATATTCAATTTCCAACACAATTTCTGAAATTTTACACTTACCAAGAGCTTGTTGGTGAATGATGGCTCCTAAACTGAAGAGGTATTTCTTGCAAACCTCAGCAAGGTCTGGCCTGGCTGCCGTCAGCTGGTCTTCTCGGCAGCGGTAGCGCTCGAAATCCGTGGTGATCTCCTGTGGGGTTCCAGGAATACTGTTTATTCTTGGGACAAGGACAATCTGGAATAAGAATATATGCGATGTTTTATAAATTAAACTGAGTTGAAATAATTGATTTCACATATTTAAGTCCTCTTGAGTATAAACCCATGTTCCACTATTTGTAATGCCATACAGAAGTTTAAGAAATAAAAATAATGTGATAAAAATAACTTTAATGTTGTTGTAGTCCCAATAACAGCTTTCAGTTTTTAGTGAACACTGTAAAACTTAATTCCAAATAGAAATTCCAATTCTTTATAAATATATGAAAACTTATGACTTACTGAATCAATCAGGGCAGTGGCATCAGGTGTAGCTCTGTCACTCTTGTACCTGTTGAATTCTAGTTTGATGGTATATGAAACACCTGTCTCTAAACAAGATGGCGGGGAAACTGTGTAGTAACGAATACCTGAAATGCACAATTATGCCAATGATTAATTGATTTTTCATTTTTGAGTGTATGCAATTTAAACAAAAGAGAAAGGATAAAAACTTTTTAAAAAATTTTCCAGAACTCCACTCAAATTTGTAAGCACCACATTTTACCAAAAAAATAAATAACTTTTACACCAAAAGATATTCTATTTTAGTGGACTATTGCCTATTTTTTTTTAAATAAAAGTATGTCAAAATTTTGGTTCTTAAGATAAAAATCAACTTTCACTTTCAAATATTTCTGTGGAACCAGCCAAGGGACGTGAGTGGGCAATGGCCCATGGGTGTCCACTGACTGACCTGCGGGCAGACTGGTAGCCTTGAAGTCATCTTGAGGAATGCTGTTGGCACAGACACTGTTCTGGTCCACCCGCCCTGGTCTTTCCACAGTCACGCGAACATCATCCCAACGATCTGGCATCTGAATAACAGAGAAAAAAATGTTAACTGGCTTTAAAGTGTTTTATAAAATCTGGTTTTGATATAACCTAGTATCGCATACCATATCATACATACAGGTATAACTGCAATATATTGGGTATAGATTTGATGACTCAATAAAACCACATTTCCATTAAATAAATATTGTACAATTTTTTTTCACTTTCATTTTTTAAAAAGTCATCAAGAAAGAGAGAGAAAAGAAAGAAATAAAATCAATAATCTTTCTTAAGTCCTGAAACAAGACAGCAGATTGCACATCAATGCCCACATCCCAACATTCACTTGATTCCTACTTCAGTGACATCTAAACTTACCCCCAAAGTCCTAGGAATGCAGAATAAATAAAAACAAAAAATTAAGTAACTTTTTTTCATACTTAACTTTATGCTATAAATAATTTGGATCTGAAATAACATCATCACCTTTATGCAGGCTAGATTAACCCTTATTGATTTTCAAATTGCTAGCTTTTCCAGAAAAAAAAACATATTATTCCAGTTGGCTATAAGCCAATCCTTTTTTATTCAAATTTTGAGGCAGAGTTAAATAACTTTCAGCAAAAAGTAAAAATTTTATTTGACATGACAAGCCATCTCATCAGGCTTCAAAGCTTAAACTAGGACAGATTTAACAGGAAACATCATAGTTCTTAAGTTTTGTTCACAAGTTTCTGAAGACTACATGATCGCTGTCATATTCTAGTACAAGATTCCACAGAGACTGGCAGAAGTATTCATGATGATATTAAACTACACAGTCATAGCAAAATTCTTTCAGGTCATTAAAAGAACAGGCCAAAATAGTGACCATAGTATGTCCAGTGTATTCTCAACCTACCTGTGGCTCATATCTGATGACAATGTCATACTCCATAGAGGAAGGCAGGTTGTCCACGGTGAAAACCAGGGAGTCCCCCTCGCTGACCCGCATAAACCCAGGACCTGTCCAAGTGGTGGGACGTCCTGCTACAGGCTCACGGATCACCACCTGGTAATTCTGAAATAATTTCCTCAAAATGTGTATCTGTAGCTGTGCCAAAAATATCTGCTTAATTATAGGATAGTTTTGATGAAATTATCCATTTATTTCTCAACCCCTCCACCTTAACTTTAAACAAGGGAAAAAATGCTACTCTTCACTAGTAAACTGTAGCATGTGGTTATAAATTGTTTTTTCACACAAGACTGGTTTATATCCCAGATTTTGAATAAAACTCACAAGTGTACTAGACAAAACATCTTAATCTCTATCTGGTTCTACTATTGTGAAACAAAACCACAAACACAAACAACTGAACAAATAATTACGGCTACTTACCCCAGTGCCTCTGGCAAACTCGCCCTCATAAACCAGATAATCCAGATTAGTGATGAAATATCCTGGTCGCGGTCGCTCACAGCGACGGCCAATGATATTCTGCCTACAGGCGCACTGCCCTGTTGTCTGTTCACACATGTTGTTCAGGGCACCACCAAAGTCACAGTCGCAGGCCTTACAGCCGTCTACATCTGGGCCAAGCCCCCAGTAACCTGCCTGTGTGAGGAGAGAGAGAGGAATATTTATTTACTGATTTATCTATTTATCTAGGCCCCATATTATAATCTTCAGGATTCTTTTAGACTACCCATTACACAAATTTCTCCTTACCAGACATTGGTCGCAGTTCCTTCCTGTGACAAATCTTTTACAGGTGCAGACACCAGTGATCTTGTTACAGCCAAAGTTCCCCACGGTGCCATAGGTGTTACATTCACAGGCTGGAAAAAAGATGAAATATCAAAATTTCTGTTTGTCTTGTTTGATTTTCTTCAAATCATGATAAAATCAAATCTATAGTTAATCTTGACCCAAATTGTATATCAAACAGTGGGTGTGTTCTGGTAGACATACTTAAAATATAATATCGGACAAACAAAACTTTATATTTTTTTAATTAAATAAAAGAAATAAAAAGAAAAAATCTGTATCATTTTTTGGCATTAGTGAAGATTAATCTTGCAAATCAAATGTAGCAAACAGAGAAATCTATAACATTCATTCAGAATGATCCTAAAAATTACTCACGTTCACAACCATCGATGCTTTCTTCGCGCAAGTTCCAGTAGCCATTTTTACATGTGTCACACCTGGGTCCGTCTACAAACCGTTTACAGAAGCAGCGTCCTGCCACAAGGTTGTGCTCTGGGTCTGAGCGACTCTCACACTCGCCACTGTTCTCAGAACCCTTGGGGTCACAGTCACAGGCTAAGGATGAAAAAGAAACAAACCTTGAAACTATTTTCATGAATCAAATTTGTCTAGAAAAACATGTTTGTTTTTAAGAACTCAAGTCTTTGAAACTAAGACTATGTGATGAAACGCAGTAATGGCAAGGGGACAGATCTTGAGCTGAAAACCTAAATTCTACATGAGAAAATACTCTCAGAGGTCCTTTTTTAAACATTTCAAGTGAAAATGTAACATTGATAATAATAATAATTATAAAATATGATTGTCATTATAATTTCAAACACATTTTCCATTGAATAAACTATTATTGTAACTTTATAAGTGCATAATTAATAGAGCTGATGAAATTATATGCCCGAATACTTACGTTTGCAAACTTCTGGATGCCTGATGTCTTTGGTGGGATCTTGATAGTAAAATGGCTTACATTCCTGGCAGTTACGACCCATAGTATTGTGTTGGCAGTCATCACAAACACCTCCACTGACACGTCCCGTGGCCTCGTACACGGCGGGATCAAAGTGACATCTGCTGGCATGATTATTGCACTCACATTCTGAAAAGTACAATAATAATTTCAATTACATTTTGATAAAAAAGCACCAAAAATTTTAACAGATTTTCCTTTTTTTCAACCAGAAGTGCGAACCAGGCATGTGCCAATCACTTCAACTGCTGGCAAAATGTCAAATCTGATAAGAAACACACTAAAAATTATGCACCATTCATTTCATTTCCTTTTCATAATTACATATTTACGGATATAGGTTTCTTGTTACTGTAATGTAAGGAAATGCAGAGTGATGTAGCTGAAACTGTTTATGGACATTCTTTAATATTTTCTACTAGTCTTTATTATAACACAGTTACGGGTCAGATTATCGAAAACCTCCATATATAGCTGCTGTTCTACTAAAACTTAATTAGTTAAAGAATACTTGATAGTGTGTACATTTTTTAAATTGAAAGTTTCCACCTCATCACAATATTCATGGCATGCATGAAAAAATAAATAAATAAATAAATAAATAAATAAATAAATAAATAAATAAATAAGCAAGCAAACACTGGCCAGTTGGGAAGTGATACAATTTGCACCCTGTGTTTCATAACCTACTTTTGCACTCATTTGACTGGTTTCCTCTGGCAGGTCTCCATGGCAAGTCATTGTAGAAAGCTTCACACTGCTCACAGTTCAAACCTTTGGTATTGTGGGTACACTCACAGCGTCCATGAACCTGGGGTCAAGGTAAAATCAGGCTCAGGTCAAGGTCATTTTTATTCAAACTTGACATGTGCAAATTGTTTTCATATTATAAGGTTTCAAACAACCATATTGTAATTGAGCTATAAAAACTGACCATAATATGAGCATATAAAACGAAAACAATGAAATTAATAATAAAATATTTTAACTCTTCTAATTTAAAAAAATATATATAACTAGTGACTCAGGAACAGAATACTGACTCAAACATGGTGCATTTTTTTCAGAGAGTGGGGAATATGGGACAAATATCTATGGGCAAAACTCAACATGGTCATTTGAAGCAAATTTCGACAAAACTTCTGATAAAAAATATGCCAATTGTGACTTACCATGTCTGATCTATTTGGCAAGCCTGGTAGTGGCAGACAGCGAGAAGCATGACCATAGCAGGAGCAGCTTCCACGGACTACCATTTCATAGATGGAATAGTAATACTTCTCCTTGATCTCTGGTCTGCTGTCAAGAAGGTCATCACCTAAAAAGAAAACATTTCACTTTCAAAATGGTGCTGACATGGGCAAGAGGTATTGGTGCAAAAATAGGCAAGAGGTGTGGATGCAGGCACAATCCATTGGTGTTGAGATGGGCAAGAGATATTAATGTTGACATGGGCAAGAGGTATTGGTGCAGAGATGGTGAAAAGGTACTGGTGCTGATTGCAATGGGTGAGCTGTATTCATTTTGAAATTGGCAAGAGATCAAGATAGACCATTCTTATTGTGTTTTAGGTAGGATGCCAAACATTTAATTGCCTCACTTCTTTCAAAGAAAGATGTCTGTTTAGCCATGGTAAGCCATTAAGCCACTAGAGTGTCTCATGTAGAAAGAAGGCAGTTCTGTTGAACTTGTAGGGAGAACTATCCTAATATCAAGGCCTGGCAATGTGTGCCACATTCCTGTGTACTAAGAAATAGCCTCCATGTGCAGAGGTTGTGGCCAATAATTAAGTATGCCAGGCTTAAATTGTCAATATTAAAGATTGAAAAAAAAAAACCTGTGTTTGAAAATGCCACTGACCTGCCAACCAAATCTTAATCTTATTCATTTACAGGGTCTTTATATGTTGTCAACCTGTTAGACTTGATAAAAGACCACCAATCAAATAAAGAATAATCTTGCAAGTTTTTTTTTTTTTTTTTTTTTTTTGTAAAATGAGGAGTAGACCGCCCCCATGTCCAACATGGCCTAGTTCACTATAAAAACACACCAAGTGGTCAGTGGATTCTATATTTGTGCATTCTACTGTAAAGGAATCTTATAGGTGTTATCTGAAACACATGCCATGACTAAATGTTAAAATGGGTAACAGAGGTACTCTCTCCCTGTCTTATAATTCTCTCTCTCTCTTAAAATCTTTCTTTGCCGCCTTCCCAATTCTGATATTACAATCTCTCTCTCTCTCTGACTACTGTTTCAGCTATCAATACTACAATCATCAAGTTGACATGAATTACAAGAGACTATATATGATAACCACAACAGTTTCTGCCTTGTCTTTGACACTTGCTGACCTCTCACCAATCTCACCACAAATATTTACACAATAATTACAAGTTTATGTATTTCCTATGAGCTTACTGTTGTGTGTTCAACTTAATGCTACCAGATTTATCTTGATCTGTGCATTTTGCATTTAACAAATAATAATCATATTTGTCTAAGAGGAAGTGTGGAATCACACAGAAAAGAACCAAAAAGTCATCATCAGTGCTATGCAGAGGGTGGTAATACAAAGAGAACCCACTGTTCTTCAGACTACTAAAGCTGAATGTAATAAACCCAGTCACTTGGTGCCATGTTTTTAGCCCATTTGCCAATTTATTTCAAATAAAACATCTTATTAAAAGCAGGTGTTTAGAAATTTTTATCCAATTGCCATATCAATTGGACAAAAAGCATATCCCTGCAATCTTTAAAAACTGTTTTAACATAAATTTTTCTCTTGGGACTAAAAAGCTGTTTTTATAATATGTGATTTATATACTTAATTCGCTGAATGAATGTTATCATTATAATTGTAATTATCACAAACTATTTGCACTGTGGAGGGGAACAAATCACCAGTCTTCAGCTGTGGTCTTACTGCATAAGCTCCCAAATTTCATGTCACCAAACCACTGAATAATTTAAGCCAATACAAAATGATAAATTAAATTAAAAAAGTATAATTTTTACATTTTATTTCACCAAATTAGTATATATTACGCATTTTGCTTAAATGCCCCATGCTAGAATGAACACAGTCTTGTGTTGATAGGAAATAACAGTTATGGAGGGTATAATAACACAGCTGTCTAAATTTCTACAACCTTGGTTGTGAATGAGCACCCCATTTATCCATCCTCTGTATTCACCAGCCTTTGTTGCTTATTACATGAAACCCGGGGCGCATGACAATAGACAGACAATGTAATGAACTGGGGCAGGGTATCGTTATTTAATGCACAGACGATGTAACGTGTTGGCAATGGAATGGTCATTTCAATGCGCAGAGGATTTAATACACCAGGCCATAGAAAAAATAACAATGGACAGACAGTGAAATATACACTGTGTGGTCACTTGGCCTGCAGTCAAATGGTCGCTAAAGTGCAAGAATTAAATGTCCACCCTCTCCTGAGGGCCAGACACTCCACAGTGACATTCTACTGCCTTTTTTTATTCAGGTTAATATACAAGTGCAAAACTCAATGATAATTGAGTATTAATGATAATTAAAATATATTCATAAGCTTGCATTAGGTTTCTACAGGTCAAATTGAGCCAGGTCCACACTAGTATTTATAATGACCACTTAATGGTTACCATAATGACAATTTACTTTGGAGAAAAATATCAGCCACATTTCCAATTAAAATCAAATAATAACTAATTCATAAATCTGGATTAAATGAAGTAAAGTTAGTTTGGGAATTAACTTCATCAATTCCAATTCAGAAATCACTGCAATCATGACTGCATGGTTTGTTAGGTATGGAAATCTCCCAGGACCCCTATGTACAGTGTGTGTGTGTGTGTGTGTGTGTGTGTGTGTGTGTTACCCAGCTGTTGCACCAATGCCACCAAATACATAAACTATACCAGGTAGTATAATAGCATAAGCTATCACCCAGACCTACACTTACACCAGTTTGAAACTAACCAACTAACCAACATCATTAGATATCCCAATTTTAACAATAATTTTATAAGGGTTCTAGGACATTTTTACAAAATGCTTAAAACTAACAATTTTATTTTTAATTGCAATGTATTATACAAATAATGGTGTANGGGCGCATTCCCATAGATTTTAGATCGATCTATCCCCGTGGGGAGTCTCACTAGATTACTGTCAGATAATCCGGCTTAAATGTCCGTCCCGCCTACTAAAAGCTGTAAGAGGGTAATTAACTACTGCGAGCGCTCGGCTGACAGCTATTTAGCGTGAACCCCCAGGGAGTTAGGTCGATCTAGTTGGATCGATCTAATCTCTGGGAATGGGGTCTACCACAGCTGTTTTTAAATGTGGATTTTAACTGCATTTGTTTTAAAGGGACAGCATACTTGAGATAAATTTCCAATACCATTTTCCTCATTAAACAATTCATGAACAGAATGAACAATTATGGGTATTGTTTGCATTTTTCTTTAAAAAACAGGAACATTATTTCAATCTTAAAAAGATGTTATATATGCATTTGGAATGTTGAAAAAGTTTAAGACCACAGAAAGTGAGACATTTTCATTTTTTTTTTTTTTTTGTATTAATAAAAAGTTTTTAGGTTGTTGTAATTCTTCATTCCCAGTTATGACTGGTCCATCCAATGATTCCATTCAGTGTGATATCTCACCAATACCAAAGCCAGGTGGTCAAGGGGATACCCTCGGTCAGTTTATGGTCAACTGATGGTCAGTGCTGGCTAACACATTCTTGTGGAAGAGTATTACTAGCTGGAGGCTGTACATTAAGGTGTTGCCATACACAATCCATCACCCTGTCATAACTCAAAGGTTAAAATCATTACTCCAGAACTTTAAAAGCTGACTCTTCTCACAATTATGTTGAGCTAAGCAATTTTTCTCTGCTCTCGGTGTGTTCTGCCATGTAAAATTTTGCACCTGGATGTCTGAAAGACACAAGTTTTTCCAGATTTTCGCTCTAATGGTAGTCCCTGTCTGAACTGGTCGCTAGGTAAATTTTCCATCCTCTTGTTGTCTGGGTCACATATTTCTGCACCCCCTGATTGAACCCCTCAGTTTAATAGAACATTGCAACCTATATGCACAGGTCTCCCGTTTCTTGACACTAATTCATCATTCTCCCTGCCTCAAACACAAAGGTCTTCCCTAAATAATGCCCCCAAATACAACCTGGCTTTCAATGCATTCATAAAGCACTGCAGATCAAAGTGAGGTGACATTATTGTGGCCTGCGTTATTTGGCCAATCTCAACCCTGTGTCGGGCAACAAACACTTTTCACAGACTGGTGTATATTTCCAAATGTTAAACCCTACAGGAATCTGAGCCCATTTTGGTAAAAAAAAAATGACTGTGAACTTTATACATCATAATGTATCATAGTACTGATCTGAAAAAAAATTTAAATAAGTGGAACAGATTTTAAAACAAATTTTCAGGAGTATCTGAAAAGTTTGTCAAAATGGCAAATCATCATCGCAGCTGAAGTTTTCAAGTCCTACTGAAAATGTTACGCGTCAAACAAAGATTTACCTGCAAAACCAGGAGGTAGGCTGCGGACAACAGCATAAATTTATCACTAGTCTATTGTAAAATACTTCACACATTAAATTCCCAAATATATTCAACCTTTCCAGTCAAAGTGTGAACTTTTCTATCCAATTTCTGCAATTTTTTAGTAAAACTGCAAACTTCAAAGACAAAACTGCCAGCTTAACTTGCCAAACTGTGAAATTTACTATCAAATTTAATAGCCAGCCTGGAAAAGTACTGATCTCGACCACATAACCCCTTTTTTTCGCAACCACAGGATGTATACGAGGGAATAACATGGAGATTGCAAACCACGAAACTATCACTTCATTCTTTTTACATTCATTCAGACAGGAAATATTTTCCTTCTGTATTAACACAGGTCAAAACAATATGGGCACTAAATTTTAGGATCTATACTGAAAACAATGAAATCCTTTTTTTAACATCAATGTTGAAACTGACTGAAAGCCCTGCATCCTCATTCTAAATTTGCCCTTTTTTGTGTGTGTGTGTGTTGTATTTATCTCATGCTCCATATAAAGTAAACAGCCATATTTTCTTTGCAGAAATGTTTCAAACTCCATCATATATATATATATATATATATATATATATATATATATATATATATATATATATATATATATATATATATATATAAAGTGGTTCTTGAATATTGTATGGGTTAGGATATATATATATATATATATATATATATATATATATATATATATATATATATATA